GTCTGTCTGTCTGTAAACTTTTCACATTTTCGACTTCTTCTCAAGAACCGCTGGGCCAATTTCAACCAAACTTGCCACAAAGTATCCATGGGTGAAGGGGATTCAAGTTTGTTCAAATGAAGGGCCATGCCCTCATTCAAGGGGAGATAATTGGGAATTAATGAAAATTTAGTGGCATATTTTAAAAATCTTCTTCTCAAGAACCACAGTTCCAGGAAAGATGAAACTTATGGGGAAACATCCTCAGGTAGTGTAGATTCAAGTTTGTTCAAATCATGACCCCCGGGGCTAGGGCAGGGCCAAAATGGCCGACCAAAGTTTTACATAGAAATATATAGGAAAATTCTTTAAAAATCTTCTTTTCAAGAATGACAAAGCCATTATTCATCATATTTATATGGAAGCATGCTCAGGTAGTTTAGATTCAAGTTTGTTAAAATCATGACCCCCCCCCCCCCCCCCCCCCCCCCCGGGGCTAGGGCCTGTCCAAAATAGCCTACCATAGTTTTACATAGAAATATATAGGAAAATTCTTTAAAAATCTTCTTCTCAAGAATGACAAAGCCATAATTCATCATATTTATACGGAAGCATGTTCAGGTAGTGTAAATTCAAGTTTGTTCAAATCATGACCCCCGGGGGTAGGGCGTGGCAAAAATGGCCGACCAAAGTTTTACATAGAAATATATATAGGAAAATTCTTTAAAAATATTCTTCTCAAGAATGACAAAGCCGTAATTCATCATATTGATATGGAAGCATGTTCAGGTAGTGTAGATTCAAGTTTGTTCAAATCATGACCCCCGGGGCTAGGGCGGGGCAAAAATGGCCGACCAAAGTTTTACATAGAAATATATAGGAAAATTCTTTAAAAATCTTCTTCTCAAGAATGACAAAGCCATAATTCATCATATTGATATGGAAGCATGCTCAGGTAGTGTAGATTCAAGTTTGTTCAAATCATGACCACTGGGGCTAGGGCGGGGCCAAAATGGCCAACCAAAGTTTTACATAGAAATATATAGGAAAATTCTTTAAAAATCTTCTTCCCAAGAATGACAAAGCCATAATTCATCATATTTATATGGAAGCATGCTCAGGTAGTACAAATCTTGTACTTTGATGCATCTAGGGACCTTAAAACATATTTATAACAAAGTAGGTCACTGTGACCTATTTTAAAAATTATGCAGACATTTGTTTTCAAATTGTTTAAAATGCATATTTTGATTACCTTCAGACCTACAATCATCAAACTTGGTCAGTAGATGCATCTTGGGTCTTTGAAAAATGTCAGCCAAAATGTAGGTCACGATGACCTACTTTCAACAATTTAATGGCTATATTTTAGTATCTTAGGCATTTATTGGCTTAGAATCATCAAACTTTGTGAGTGGATGCATATTTAGTTTTCGGAGAGTGACGACCAAAAAGTAGGTCATGGTGACCTACTTTTGACATCTATGGCTTTAATTAAGTATCTCTGGTACTTATTGGCTTAGAATCATCAAACTCTGTGAGTTGATGCATCTTGGGTTTTTTGGAGAGTGACGACCAAAAAGTAGGTCATAGTGACCTACTTTTGACATTTTGTGGCTATAAGTATCTCCAGTACTTATTAGCTTAGAATCATCAAACTTGATGAGTTGATGCATCTTGGGTTTTCTGAGAGTGACGACTAAAAAGTAGGTCATAGTGACCTACTTTTGACATTTTGTGGCTATAATTAAGTATCTCTGGTACTTCTTGACCTTAAATCATCAAACTTTGTGAGATGATGCATCTTGGGTTTTCGGAGAATGTCGACCAAAAAGTAGGTCACAGTGACCTACTTTTGAATATCTCAGGTATGTATTAGCTTAGAATCATCAGACTTTGTCACAGTTTAGGCACCTTGGGTTTTCGGAGAACGTCGACCAAAATGTAGGTCACTGTGACCTACTTTTGACATTTTTTGGCTATATTTGATTATATCTGGTACTTATTTGCTCAGAATCATCAAACTTTGTCAGTTGAGGCACCTTACGGTTTTATTGAATGTCCAACAAGAAGTAGGTCACAATGACATACTTTTGAATATCTCATGTACTTATTGGCTTAGAATCAGCAAATTTTCTCAGTTTAGGCATCTTGGATGTTTGGATAACGCCGTCCAAAAAGTAGGTCACCATGACCTACTTTTGACATTTGATGGCTATATTTAATTATCTCTGGAACTAATTGGCTTAGAATTGTCAAACTTTGTCAGATGATGCATCTTGGGTTTTCAGAGAATGTTGACCAAAAAGTAGCTCATGGTGACCTACTTTTGAATATCTCAGGTACTTATTTAATTAGAATCATTAGTCTTTGTCAATTAATGTATCTTGAGTCCTCAGAAAATTCCAATCAAAAGGTAGGTCTCTTTGACCTACTTATGGTATTTGATAATTATATTATGATATCTTCAGTCTTAACTGGCTAAATATTATGATAATCAAACTTTATAAGTTGATGAGTTTTGGGTCTTATGATACTAATAGAGTTGGAGGCTAAGTAGAAGTGATAGACTGTACAATTTATCAGAAGAGCGATTCAAGGCCCTTTGGTCTCTTGTTTTCCACCCATTGGGAAAGGGTCCGGTACCGGTTCAATTGGGAAAAATAACATCGAAGTTAAACAAAGGAGAATTTTCTCTTATTTATGCAAATGCGACTTATTTTGCGTTTATTCCTACTTAATTACCTATAAATGCTTGTTTTAAAGAATAAACAACAAGTACTAATTGTTTTTATATCAACGTCCCTTGTTTTCACATTGTCATGCTTTCAATTTGTCAAAATATATGACACTACGCTGTCTAAACCACTGCTCCAACCAAATTACGACTTTCTCTACTTTGGATTTAAGCGGAAGGGAAACAATTAGTCAACTTGTACAATGTTTCATTTAACAAGAAATACAATGTCATCGTAATCTTTTGCTTCACAGTTAAATTGGGAAATTTTTGTCATAGAATTGGGAAAAATTAACGTTTTTTGGCATTGGGAACGGTGCCGTTTATCGGTACCAGTTATATAAGGAAAAAAAACGCTGTATATAGGAAAATTCTTTAAAAATCATTTTCTAAAAAATAGCAAATCCGTGATTGGTCATGGGACTACTTTTGCATTTAAACTTTACAATAAAAAGCCATTTTCTACTTTTTCCTACCCTTAGTGCTCAGGTGAGCGATGTGGCCCATGGGCCTCTTGTTTAAATATGTGGCCCCAGGGTCAGTGGTTCTTTTGGGGTGAGGTGCACAACTTGTTATAAAGTGGAAGAACATTTTCTTTTTGTAACTCTGATCTACCTCTGGGTATTGAGTAAGTAGAGTATTTTTAATTATGATAAGCAATGGTGCCTCTTTCAAAATTGGGAATTGTGAATTTCATGGCCTCTGGTTTAAAACACGAACCAAATTTAATTGTTTGAAAGTTGTTACACAATACTCAGGTGACCTATAAGGCCTGTGGACCTCTTGTATTAAGTCCTAGCCAAATACAAGAGTGAAGCAGAGTTAAAATGTGAATAAACCTTACAATTCGTATCAATTTGAAATGTTTTTTTCCAAAATCAATTTTAGTTGCCATGAAAGAAATATATAATGTCAGTCTTTTTTATAGGATAGATTTTGAAAGGAAGGAGTATTATCAGGGAAAACTGACTGTCAAAAAGTAAAAAAAAAATGTTGTTCAGTAAAAGTTGGAGGTGGTCCCTACATCCCCTCTTACCACCTTCACCTAAAATATATATTCGCTTATGTTTTGTTCACATGAAATTAAATCATAGTCGTTTAAATAGCTTTCTAAAACAATTTGTATCAATTTAGAATTTACTAACCTATTTTTAGATCAATGTAGAGGAAATAAATCCTTGTATTGACCTGGAACGTCACATGCAGGTCAATACAGCGTAATATTTTTCTAACATAGTTGGATCTCAGCCAATCAGAGAGGTGGAAATTATTCAATCATATAATAATTTGAATTATTTTATCTCTACTGTAATTACTCTATATAAGATTTATACCATATAAAACTGTCTATTTTCCTGAGAAGAGACTATTGCCCTCATCTGAGGACTACTCCTTGAAAATCAGAGCTACACCCTGGGACTATTCCCTCATGAATATTTATTAGTAATTTTAACCAATCAAAATGTTCAGGGGTGGAGTGTTCAAGGAATCTCGAGTCTGTGACGTCATGTTATTAGCAATGTAACTATGACGTCAAAACATTTTGACATGCGATGTAAAAATTATACTTGGATTCTAGTGAAATTAAGACAACAATAATTTTTCGAAATGTCAGTGAAAATACTGTTTGAAAATAATTTAAGACACGATGCATTACTTATCATACAATGTGTTAAACCACATGCATTTATGATTATGCCTCTACAGTGTTTTTTAAATGTCGGAATATTTGGTAAAAATAATCAAATCGCTTAATTTGATTGTTTTGGTATAATGAAACAGTTATGGAATGGGAACTCGGTAAATAGCAAATTTACGGTTCCCCTCGGCAGGAAACTATTTCCCTCGGCGGCTTCGCCAACTCAGGAAATAGTTTCCTACCTAGGGGAACAGAAATTTGCCATTTATCTCGTACCCATTCCATAACTGTTTTATTACACCGTGAGACCAAAAAAAACACAAAACAGCATACTTTTTTGTATATACTGGTACTCTTTTTACACTGGTTGGCATTAGATCTCTGGTTGCCCATCTTAATCTTTTCTCTAGACCAGCAAACTTCAGATCTGCAGCTATCTTTTCTCATAATTATAATGTAGCAAATTGTAGTATTGGTTTAGGTTTAGTTACTTGTAAGGAGGAGGCCCTGGGGCCTATTTTATTAATTTACCTGAAAGTGCATTTTGTTTTTGTGATAATTAACAAAACAGTTTTATTCTTACAATTTGATATAGTCTCACAACTCTGCAATGGTTTTTCTCACCTTTCCTTTGTTTTTAGGACAAACCTGTAACAGTATTTGGAGGCAGATTGTTTGTCGTCATGGCAACAACTTAAACCACTTCATCCTAACCACATATGCCGTGATGTTGACTGAGTTGTGCTGTGATTGTTAAAGTCATTCTTACTTCTGTTCCAAGGTTGGTGTCCTATTTTGAAAATATTTAAGGGATGTTTTTAAGTTTTGTGTGATTTTTTGCTTTGTGAATAACACAGTCTTGTTACAAAGGCATATTTCATGAAGCGCACTAGCTAGTGTGTGTGATTAACACTAAGAAATTATTTCTTATAACACGTTATGTGTTAGAGTATGAATGGAGGGAGTCAGCAAGATTCCATTTCCCTGCATTCTAAAATTGTGGAACCCATTTCACATGGATTTTTTGCATTCTATTTGTATTTTAGGATAATTAACTTACCAGTACCTGGAGAAATGTCTTGTGGCACACACTTCTGGCACTGACAATGTTTGAACAACCCTAGTGCAGCCTCATACACCACTTTATAGGGATGACACATTGTGCTGTTGACTGAG